TATCAGCACCTCTTCCTCCTCTGGTCTCCAGGCTGTACTCGACCCAGTGGGGGACGTCGAGCATATGCATGGCAGAGTACTCGTGGACGGGCCACGAGTCGCCGGTGCGGGGCGTCCCGACGCCCCAGGGCAGCGCCGACTCCTGCGCGGCCCCGCCCTCGCTCTCGAACTCCGCCGAGGGCTGGAACGCCCCCGCCTCCTGCAGGAGGCTGGGGCGGCCGGCGGCGGGCATCGACACGTGCGGCGGCACGAGCAGGGGCCCCTGGTCGGCGACTCCGAAGGGGTGTGGTGTGCAGAGGGTGTGGTCTGCAATCTGCGCCTGGGGGGGCGGGCGAGGGCCTCGAAGGAGATCTCCGCCGCGCCCCGGAGAGGGCTCATCGAACCTCTGGCGAAGCGTGGCGACCCCTCACTATCCCCGACGGCGCCAATCGCCAACCGCAACCTGGCGTAGCCACGCCCATTCCCAAAGATCCGACGTCTTGATTCGTTCGACGAGGGATTCCTGGAAGTCCCGACCATTTCCCTGGGGCCCGTTTTTCATCCTGGCTGGTTTCTGACGGCTCCAAGGCCTGGCGAGGGCCCCCAGAGCTGAAAATGGCGAAAAACCTTCAGTCCTGAGCTTTTCAGGGCGCGAGCATGTCTGGGCTGCTGTCGCAGACCTTGGACAGGTTGGCGCGGTACTCGATGGCCTGCTCGTACTGCGACACGCGCGCCGCCAGGGCCGCGGCGCGCTTCTCGGCGCTGGCGCCCTCGATCCCGTGGGCGTCCTTCCTCGGGGGCGGCCAAGAGGGGGGCGTCCAAGAGGGGGGGGCGCAAATCATGACCGGTGGCACGTGCGCGGCCCAAGGGGGGGCCAGAGATGTCATGAAGTAAGAAGAGGCGCCATGAAATCTGAGGAAATAGCATGGCCCACGCCATGAGATCCTTCCCCCCCTAGTCATCACCCCCCTTTTTGCCGCCCCCGACTTCCGCGAGGCCCCGGAGCCCAGGGCGATGCCCCGAGCCGCGGGGGCACACAGCGCCAGCAACCACAGGGCCGCCATCGCCGGAGGGAGTGGGTGTGTGCCAGAAACCATGGTCGTGGGTGGTATGGGTCGGCAGCGAGCGAGGGTGACTACCTACCAGACCACCCCAACCCAACCCGAAGACCAGAATTTCGCCCGAATTTCGGGTTGGGGGGGGACGGGATCCATTCGTGCTGTTTCAATGTTCCCCGACCCCCCCCCCACCGGGAATGGAGGGCAAATCGGGGCCTTCGGGTTGGGTTGGGGTGGTTTGGTGGGTGGGGTCAGAGGGAGGGGGTAGTGGCGAGCAGGAAAGAAAAAGGCCTTCTCCGAGAGCTCGGCAGTCCCCCGGCCTTCTGCTGAGAAGTGTTTGTTCTGAGCCTTCCCCGAAAAAATATGGAGAAACAAAAACCTCTCGGAAGGCGCGAGGCTTCTGAAAAGCCCCGCCGCCTTCTGAAAGGGCCTTCTCCTTCTCACTTCCCCCCTCGCTCGCCGCCGAATCGGGGGCGAAACACATATCCGTATCCGCGGCCTCGATGGTCAGGCCCCTGGGCCGCGACCCCGCGGATGCAAAACGTGTTTTTTCGCGGACGCCCCGCGTGGAACGTATCCGTGAGACCGCGTATCCGCGGGACCGCGCCCCATAATCCATACCGCGCGGGCGCGGATACGGGTACGCTCGCCGCTCGTTATGCTCGGGGAGGAGAAAAAGCGTCATAAACGTAAACTGTTGAAGATCCGCGTGGATTTCTTGGATTTGCGCTGGGCCCGTGGGAGGCGCCGCCGACGCCGCCCGGTCCAGCACGGATCCGAGAAATCCGCGCGGACCGTCAACAGTTTATGTTTATGCAGCTGTTTCTTCTTCGAGGTATGGTAGGCGAAGGTCTTGGGACAAAAATGGCAGCGAGCAGGGAGGGATATAAAGGAAGACAAGACAAGACAAGACAAGACAAGACAAGACAAGACAAGACAAGACAAGACAAGACAAGACAAGACAAGATGGGACATGGCAATGGAGCTCCGAATCGAAGTCGATCGAAAAAACTTTGCGCGCTGCTTCGGCAAGTGGACCTCGCTCGCCTGAAAAATACCCCGCTTCGGGAGAAATGCGAGGGGGGAGGCGTTTTGAGTGCCTGGGGGCGTCCTCAGAGACTAAGACAGACAGGCAGCGAACACAATGAGCACATCGCTCTCGGAGGTCCGCGCGGACTTCTGCGATTTTGGCGCTGGAACCCCTGCCCAGGTGGCGCCTCCAGCGCCACCGTTGCCGCGCTCCGCGCGCCAGGGTGGGAGGCCAGCGCAGACCTAACAAGCCCGCGCGCACCTCCGACAAAGGATGTGGATGCTGCTTCTCTTCCTTCGTAGTCAGGGAGACCGGCGCCGCAGCCTGATTGCAAATCGCTCGCGCGATGCCGTCGCCTGCGGCCGAAGCGGGCCGAGGAGCCCACCAGCGAAGCAAATCTCAGCGCGCACTGCTCGGCGCCTCGATGTGCCACGTCAGAGCCATCCGGTCGGCCGCACGTGCAAGAGCCACCCTGGGCAGAGGTGGCTCTCTGGAGCGCGGTTTTCCGAGGGCGCCACGGGGGGGGGGAGGGGGGGGCAACCCAAGCGCGCAGGCAAGCGCCACCGTTGCTTTCAAAATCGCTCGGCGCGGAACTCCCCATACGTGAATCTCATAGCTCCTGTCACATATCGCTGAGAAGCTCTGTGTGTGAGCATCTGGGTGAGAGAGGGTGTCCGCGTAGACAACAGGCGCGACAGCGACGACGACAGCGACGACTTCAGTGACGTCCTCCTCCTCCTCCTCCTCCTCCTCCTCCTCCTCCTCCTCTGGACATACTCCAGGAGAGACGAGGGAAACAAAAGTGGAAGAGCGAGGGGGAATTCATACTGCAGTTCTCACTGCGGCGACTCAAGCAAGCGCGCATGGCGTTGCTACGCCCGCTTTCATGCGTGCTACTCGCGGCGCCTGCTGGCATTTGTGGTGCCCAAATGCCACGCCGGCTAGATCGCGGCAGACAACTGCGTGTGAGCCTGAGAGTGAGCGAATCTGAATGTGAGTGATCAGAATGTGAAAAATCGGAGTGCGAGCGAACCTGGGTACGATTGAGTCTGAGTGCGCGCGAGTCTGAGTGCGAGATGGTCTGAGTGTGAGTAAATCTGAGTGTGACCGGATCTGAGTGCGAGCGTGATGAATGCGATATCCACTGTGAGTAAGCCTGAGTACGAGGTGTCCTGCGTATTCTAAGCCGCTAGCAACGAAAAGTTCTTAGGCCCAAGCGCCGAACTTTGCTCTGGGGCCTGAGAACGAATATGGCTGCTGCAGCGAGCTCTCCTCTGTCACGCCTCGTGCCGATCCTCGTCGGATTTCTCTCCATCCTCGCGCTGATGTTGATCCTGCTGCTGTTCCTGCTGCTGCTCCTCGTCCTCATCAGCATAACCACAAGTATCCTTCTAACTGTCATTGCCACGACCATACCCAGTATCACCAACACCAACAACAACCTCACCAGTGTACAGCCTTCATCGTCAATAAACACATCGGTATCGCCATCGTCAGAAACACCATCACCTCGTCGTAATCGCCATCATTGCCATCATAAACATCGTCGTCGTCATCTTCACTTGGGCGTCACCGAATTCGTTTCTCGCGAGGTGAGCTAACTGAACTGAACTGAACGAACTGAACTGAACTGAACTGAACTGAACTGAACAGAACAGAACAGACTGGTCGAATCCGTTATGCAACGGTTTGATTCTCGGCCAGCAATGGGGCAACCTATGGCGCAGCCTATCGGAGACGGCTTTATGATCGGCCGCCGAGGGAGCGTCCTCAACCTATGTGGCGCAGCCGATAGGAGACGGTTGTATTCTCAGCCGCCGAGGGCACAACCTATGGCGCAGCCGATGGTCGACGGTGTTGTTCTCGGCCGCCGAGGGCGCAACCCATGGCGCAACCGATAGGAGACGGTGTCATTCTTGGCCGCCGAGGGCGCAACCCATGGCGCAACCGATCGGAGACGGTTTCACTCTCGGCCGCCGAGGGCGCAACCTATGGCGCAACCGATAAGAGACGGCTTTATCTCTGCCGCCGAGGGCGCAACCTATGGCGCAGCCGATGGTGGACGGTGTCATTCTCGGCCACCAATGGCGCAACCTATGGCGCAACCGATAGTAGACGGTTGTATTCTCAGCCGCCGAGGGCGCAGCCCATGGCGCAACCGATCGGAGACGGTTTTATTCTCGGCCACCGAGGGCGCAACCTATGGCGCAACCCGTAGGAGACGGCTTCATCTCTGCCGCCGAGGGCAAAACCTTTGGAGCAAACGATAGGAGACGGTTGTATTCTCATCCGCCGAGGGAGCTTCCTATGGCGCAGCCGATAGTAGGCGGCGTTATTCTCGGCTGCCGAGGGCGCAACCATGGCGCAACCGATCGGAGACGGTTTTATTCTCGGCCGCCGAGGGCGCAACCTATGGCGCAACGATAGGAGACAGTTTTATTCTCGGCCGCCGAGGGCGCAACCTATGGCGAAACTGGTAGGGGACTTTTTTTCTCTGCCGCCGAGGGCGAAACCTATGGCGCAATCGATTGGAGACGGTTGTATTCTCAGCCGCGAGCGCGCAACCTATTGCGCAGCCGATGGTCGACGGTGTTATTCTCGGCCGCCGAGGGCACATCCTATTGCGCAACCGGTAGAAAACGGTTGTATTATCGGCCGCCGAGGTGCCCGGAGAAGGAGGATGAGCAGGAGGAGGAAGAGGAGAAACGAGGACGAGGTCCTCTAGACGAGGACGACGAGGGGGAGCTGGAGCAGGAGGAAGACGATGAGGATGAGGAGGAGGACGAGGAGGAGGACGACGACGACGATAAGGATGAGGAGGAGGACGCGGAGCAATACGAGTAGTACGAGGACGAAGTGTGGGCATTCGAATGCGTGTGGGGCTACGCCCGATTTATGCTCGCCGTTTGGGCTGGCGGTGGGGCCCAAGCGGCGAGCAGTCGCGTGATTGAGTCCTGGTGCGGTTGTAGCGATCGAATTTCAGAAACGAGTTTCGGTCGCGCTGATACAACACGGTCATGCAATTCGGCAACGCTGAACATCCGTAGCAGAATTGAGCGAATTTCCGAATTTCCGGTAGCGCCGAAACGAAACTCGGTAGCGCGGCACTGGAGCCCACGCGATACATCGATCATGTTCGAGGTATGCGCCACGAATACATATATATATATATATATATATACACATAGAATACTCACAGACAATCTCAAGGGAACGTTGCAAGTACCTTCAGGGAGGTGACGGTATATAAAAAAGCTGGCCCTCAGTGGTGAGTTATACACCGGCACCCTCCCGTGAGGCCTGGAAACAATCTATGGGAAGGTGACTGTGTACATTATTTTGTGGCGGAAGGTGTTCTCGCTACTGGATGTCTTCCGTCGGTTTCAGGATTTCGGTCGCGCCTGGTTTTGGTTTCGCGCTACCCAAAATCTTCGGCAACGGCTACCTGCCCGCCAGAACCAGTGCTGGGCCACCTTAGACCCCAGCCAGCAGGCTCCAAGTCTCAGTATCCTCAGAGCTCGAACTGCGATCCTCGACGACGGCGTGGTCGTCGTCGTCTCCCCCCCCGGCTGGCCCCACGTCCGATGATCCTCAGACCTCGAGCTGCGATCCCCGACAACGGCGCGGTCGTCAGACGCGCGACCAGCCGCCCGCCGACGCGGCAGGGCCCTCGGCGCCCTCGCGAGGGCCCCCCCTGGCAGAGCTGGGGCCCCCTCTGGGCTGGGGCCTCCCCCGACGACGCCGGGCCCTCTGGCGGAGCGCGGAGCGGCCACGTCGGCGTCGTCGTCGACGAAGGCGGCGCCGCGGTGCGGCCCCCGTCGCAGCCTCAGGCCCCCCCTCGGGCCATGGAAAGATCACGACGGACGGCGTCTCCTCCTTTTCGGCCTCTGGGGGCCCTCGCCGGGACCCAGGACTGTCAAGGGACGACTCGGCATGATACGCTGGCCCCTGGGGAATGGGTCGAGACCTCTGTCGACGTTGCGAAGAGAGCATGACGTCGGGGTCCTGCCATGGGACGGCTGCACGCGGCTCGAGCAACCGGCCGGGACGGGTCCAGGGAGGGGTCCGGGGATTCGTCCTCACCCAGACATCCACCGACCTGATTCTTTCAATCTGCAGCCCCACGGGTCCCGATCGCCTCCCCAGGGGTGGTTTCTCGTCCCGGGTCCACTTTTGATGGTCCCCGGGCCCGATAACGGGTCCTTGATATAAGAAGAAGAAACAACAACATGCATGAAGACACTGTCGGCGCTCCACTAGAAGGGCCAAACAATTATGTTTATGGCTTTATCTTCCTCGATTTAAAGCCGAAGTCCAAGGAAAACACGCCAGATGAAACAAACAAACACATATTCTCGGATCTCTGGAAAGCGGGCGGAGGAGGAGGAATCGGAGGATGAATGGATGGGGGTAGGGAGGGAGGGATAGAGAGAGGAGGGAGGGAGGGAGGGAGGGATGGGGAAGAAGAGTAGGAGGAGGAGAAGGAGAAGGAAGGAGGACGGCGAGGAGGAGGAGGAGGAGGAGGAGGAGGAGGAGGAGTAGGACGAGGAGGAGTCTGAGGGCGGGGCCCACGCGCGCGGCCTTGGTCCTCCCTCCGTCGGTGGCCATGGGGCCGACCTCCAGTGCCTCTCGGGCGGGGCGCGGCCCGGGCTACTCTCCCAGAGAGGGCGGGCACGGGCGCGGCCTGTGCGCCCCGTCGCAGGCGCTTTCGACGTGCACCGCCACCACGACGACGACGACGACGACGACGGCGACGACGGCGGCGACGACGACGACGACGGCGACGACGACGACGACGATGACGACGACGACGACGACGACCACGACGACGACGATAACGACGACGACGACGACGACCACGACTGTGATGAGGCGGGGCGGCGGGCGACTCTGGCGGTGGTGGCGGTGATGCTCTCGCTGCTGGTAGTGATGATGGTGGTTTTTCTGCTGGCGTCCCCGGTCGGCACGTCGGCTCGAGGGGATGAGGCGCCCAAACCTCAAAGGGATTGCATATTCCAGTCCTGGCGCTTTTGTCCACACCCTCTGCCTTGGGGTGCCGCTTTTGTCCCCCCTCCCTGGCGCGCGGAGCGCGCCATGGGCGGCGCTTGAGGAGCCGAGGCGCCTCAAGGGGGGCCCAGCGCCGATCCGAGAAATCCGCGCGGACCTCCGAAAGCTTGCGCAGCACCCCGCAGTTGCGGACAAGAGTGCGGGGGCGGGCGCGGGACGGGTCGGGCATGGGTCGCGGGTGGGGACGACGACAACAACAGCGACGCAACAACAATCCGCGCCGTGGAACACCGCTTCAGCCACGCGCCCAGGGACAGTGAATGACCGGCGAACGTTTCCTTATTCGGCGTTTCGGCATTGGGCGACAGGGGGGTGGCTCTGGCTCCGGACCTCTGCTTAGCGCGACTGTTGGCAGCAGTGCGTCCCAGGTAAGGGCGATTCCACCTGCTTGAGACAGGCGCCAAAAACAGCCAAGCTCTACCCCATGGTGGGGAGGCGGCACGGGGGCCCGCGCCGATCGGCAAAACAATGGAGCAGAAAACGATCACCTGTTCGGGCCCCTCACCCCGATGCTTATGCAGGCTTGTGCGTCCGTGGGTTCCTCGTGGGCAGCCCCGCCCAAGGCAGCCAGCAGCGCCAGGAGGTGACGGCGCGGCGGAACCGTGCCGCCACAAAAGACGAGAGGGGCAGCTGACCGGCCAGCGCGGGTCCCTGCGGAGCCCCCTGAGCCCGGAGGGCTGCGGAGGACGAGTGCAAGGACGGGGAGGGGAAGATTTGGAACTTTTGCGCGTCGTAGCGCGGCGAGGGCTGTCCGCGCGCGCGCTCGGGCAAGCAAGGGGGGATTGGGAGCAGGGGAGGGAAGAGGAGCTGCTGCTGCTGCTGCTGCTGCTGCTGCTGCTGCTGCTGCTGCTGCTGCTGCTGCTGCTGCTGCTGCTGCTGCTGCTGCTGCTGCTGCTGCTGGGCGCGGGGGGCGGCGCGGGCCGGCCTCGCGGGGCGCGCTGGCGGGCTGGCGCGCTGGCTGACGGCGGGGCGTGGCGGGGCGGCGCTGGGGGCAGTGCCGCGAACAGCGGGCTGGCTGGCGCCTGGCGGTGGGACCGCGGCGCCCGCCTGGTGGTGAGACCGCAGGGCCCAGGCCGCAGGCCAGGCGGCCGCGCTGGCGAGGCGCTCACCTACGTGGTCCCAGATAAGCCAGCTACTATAGGCCCCGGCGGGCGCATCCCTTCCTCCTCGGGGGCGGCTCGCCGCCGAGTGGTGGGCCGCACCTGGGGTGGGGGGATTGCGCCAGTTCCCGACTACAGCGCTCCAGCCGCGGTAGAAACCCGCGCGCGGCGCAGGAGGAGCAGGAGCAGGAGCAGGAGCAGAAGCAGGAGGAGGACGAGGAGGAGGAGGAGGAGGAGGAGGAGGAGGAGGAGGAGGAGGAGGAGGAGGAGGAGGAGGAGGAGTAGCGAATCGGACCCTGCGAAGGAGGAGAAGGTGAGTCGGAGCGGGAGGAATAGGTGGGGACGGACGAGAGGAGGGGGGGAGGGGAACAGCACAGGGCGGGGAAAGAGCAAGACGGCAAAGAGAAAGATGCAACGATCTCTCACTGATCTATGCCTGGGCAACAGAGAAAGAGAAGAGGAAAGGGGGGCGGGGCGGGGAGAGGGGGGGGAGAGCAAGAGCGGAAGGCTGAGCAGGAGGACGAGGAGAAGGAGGAGGAGGAGGGGCAGGAAGAAGAGGAGGAGGAGGAGGAGGAGGAGCAGGAGGAGGAGGAGGAGGAGGAGGAGGAGGAGCAGGAGGAGGAGGAGGAGGAGGAGGAGGAGGAGGCGCGCGATAACCCAATCGAGCACCCCATATCCCCCCGCTAGCACAAGCAAAACCTGTCTGCAACCTCTGAACGCCATCCTTCGCCTCCGGCCTCCTACATTGTCTCCTCCCTCCCCTCCTCCTCAGGTATCCGGAGGCTCCGGGAAAAAGGAACAACCAAAAACGTCCAAAGACCTCCACCCTCGGTCCCCCCCTCCCTCCATCCTCCCATCCCTCCTGCCCTTTTCCCTGATCTCGTCTTCATGCCCCCTCGTCTTCCGACCATTCTCGATCACGCGTCGTCCTGCCAACCCCTGTTCCCTGATCTCGTCTGCATCCTTCTCCCTCAACCCCCTGCCATCCTGCCCCCGTCTTCCTCGATCCTCCCATTCTCCCCTTCCTACCCCCCTTCTCCGTCCACAATGCTTCACGCAGTGGGCCCCCAGAGGCCTAGACCCCTTCCCAGCGACCGTTTTCGTCATCCCGACTAGTTGGATTGCCATGTGGTCAGGCGAGCGCCCCGAGAGGCTGAAAATATTCACACAAATTTGCACCACGGCTTGTTTCAAGACGCGGGGGGGGCTGGCCCAAGCGGGCCCTGGAAACGACAGGGCCGCTTATGTTACAAGCCGTTTGTTTGCGGGTTCCGACGCCGCTCTTTCGTTGGTTCCGTCAACGTTCATTTGCCGGTTCTGGCTCCGGCTCCGGCTCCAATCTTGGAGCATTTTTGTTTGCCGTTTCCGGTCGTTTTTTTTTGTCGTTTCCGTTTAAAAGAAACACTTTTTCGGAAACGGCGAAAAAACTGCCCTGCCGTTTCCGGGGCCCACCAAGGGTTTGACATCGCGGGAAAAATCAACGCTTGGACCTATCCTGGGTTGCGGCCTGGCTAGAACTTCACAGCGCATCCAGCCGTGGGGCGAGAAGCCATCCACAGGCCCCCCAAGCGCCCCCCAAAAAGGTCTTCGACCATCAATCTTCCACCCTCGGTGCTCCATCATCGAGCCGCGACCCTCGATCCCTCATCCCTGAGACGAACCCACGACGAGCATAAAATCGGGCGAGGATGAATCGAGAATCTCTGAGATCCGGCGGCTATGGAGGATGCCTCTGGCGCCGCGGCCTTCTCGGAGCGTTCTGGAACGCTCTGAGAGCATTCCGGAATTCTCTGGAACGGATATGTCCTCGTCCCAGCCCGTCCGAATCCCTCCTCTCCCCCCGTCCCCCCTCATTCCCAGGTCCATGCTTAAGTCGGGCACGTCCCTCTAGAGGAGGAAAATTCAAAAATAGTCCAACAGCAGCCAGGAGACGATGTTTTTGAACTGTCTTGGTATGTGTTTGGCGTACTTTTTCGAGTATTCAAGATTTGTCGTTCAAAAGAGGCCTGTCGGGGGACAGGCCCGGCTGAAGTCCCTGCGGGGGGCGTCCTCTCTTCAGGTGGGCCCCCCCCACCCGCGCCGCGCGCGAGATCCCACTCGAGGCCGCGGGAGGCCTCTCGCGGGGGGCCCCCGCCGACGGAGGGCCCGCGGCGGGCGGAGGAGGCCATGGGTGGCCGCGGGGTCCTCTGCTCGCGCCGTGCCCTGGCGGCGCGCACACAGGGGGAGGGAGGGAGGGAGGGGGGGGGCTTCTTAGAAAGAGGCTGCTTCTTAGAAGGCGCTGGCCTTTCTAGATCAGGCCCGCGCCTTCTAAGAAGCAGGGGTGTGTAAGAAGCCCTCCCCCCTCCCCCCACCCCCCTCTGCGAGTGGCTGAGTGCCGGGGTCGCCCCTCGGCCCCTATCGGGGAGGCACGGACCTGGGCGCGAATTTGTGGGGGGCGATCGTTGGGGGGGAGGAGAGGTGCCCTTCTCGGGCCCTAAAGGCACCTTCTGGGACCGTCCTTCAGGGGCCCCTTTTCGGCCGCCGCCGCTGCCCCCCCTCCATTCATCGCACCCCCCATGCACGCGCCCCCCAACTGACCCAGGTCAAAACAAACCCGGGTCAGTCAGGCTGCGCAGGGTCCTGCAAGATCCGTTGGCGTCACGCACAAGGGAGTAGGGAGAGGGGGGAAGGATTCATAGAGGGAAGCTGCTTCTTGGAAGGCGCCAGTCTTCGCCTTCGCCTTCTGAGGAGCCCCCGCCTTCGCCTTCTAAGGAGCGGGGTGCTTTTAAGAAGCCTTTTCCCCCTCCCCCTATACCTCCCTCTGCGCGAGGCCGAATCCTGGAGGATCCTGCAGGATCCTGCGCGCCAGCCCGGGTCAATGCACCCCGGGCTTTGCAGGTTCCCGCCAGAATCACCAGCGCTCTGGCCGACCCCCGTATGCATGGACCACCGTCTCAAGGCTCCCGACCCGAGGAGATGCCCTCGTGTCCGGGCGTCGCAAACATACGCGCGACGGCTAATTCTTGGCGCCTCCGGCCTCTGGGGGCCTTCTGCTGGCCCGAGGGCCGTCCACTGACCGACTCACGATGTGAAGCCCGCCCATTGGACGCAATGCTTGATGAGAATCCCTGCGCGTCAGAGGGTGGGTACGTTTTGTTCGCGTTTGTTCTCTCTTGCACGTGCATCACTATTTTAAGCGTTGCTTCACACTTCGCATTTTGTGGCCGCAGCCGTCAAGGGAAAAGACTCGCCTGATTTGAACAAGCAGGGGTTAGAGCAGCCGAGACAGGTGTGAGAGCACGGCCATGTACACCTCAGCATGTTTTTTTAGCAGGATGGCCCAGCGGTACAACAGTTTGGCCAGCGCACTGAGGCGAGCGCACGGCCATGTGCACCCGCTTGTGCTTGTCACAAAGGGGGTCGCGGCCGTCCAGGAATGGCGTCTGGGGGCTCCCCGTCCCCCTTTGCGGGTCACCTCCGTGTTCACTCTCTGCACCTTCACCGGAGCTGTCTGTTGTGGAGGGTGATGTGGGGGCCGAGACATCACGGGCGGAGATCGCCAGGCAGCCACGTCGCAAGCAAGAGTGCGACCTCGGAGGAGAGGGGACGCGGCCGAGGGGGGAGGATGGCGGGTCGGAGAAAGAGAACGGGAAGGAACAGGAGCGATGATGGGGACGATCCGATCCCGCGCAAGACGAACCCATCCAACCCCATCCACTCACATCCACCCACCGATCCACCCATCATCCTGGCCCAATCGCGGGAGGAGGACGCTGAGAAAAAATGACGGGGAGGAGGAGGATGGGGTGTGGATTGGGGAGAGGAGAGAGGAGGGGAAGGAGAAGGAGGAGGAGTAGACCTCCTCCGCGACGGACTCTCTGCCGTCCGTCTTCATGTGGAACATCGGCACCTGCCGAGCGACACGCTCTCTCTCTCTCTACTCATTCCTCACTACTCCTCCCACTCCTCCTGACTTCTCATGTGGCATGATTTGCAGCGGGCAGCTGGATTTTGATGGCAGCTTTCCGAATAGCCAGTAGTCAAGATACTTGAACTATCTCATGTAATTTCAATGCGGTTCCCCCCTTGGCTCGAAATTGGTGTGCGTGTGCAAATCCATGTGGGGGGTCGGGGAGGAGCATAAAGAAAGAGTCTGGTATTGAGGATTCTGGAGGAGGAGGAGCAAAGGATACGATATTGTGACGAGTGATGAAGATGACGATGCTGATTGTCTTGCTGCCCGTGCCATCGTAATGCCGAATGAAACAACTTCACGCTTTTCTAAGGTTGTTGACTCACAAGGTTGAATGACAAATTTGCTCCCAACGTGACTGCTTGACAATCTCATAACGACGCCATGTCGTAACGGCGCGCCCGCTTCGTAACGGCGCGCCCGTGTCGCAACGGCGTGCCCGTGCCACCTAGCTGCGACGGCGCGTGCGAAAATGCTGTACATGACCAGCGCAACTCAGTTTAATGAGGCTTGGCCCTGACATTTCGGAGCTTAAGAGACGGGGGTCAATGCAAACGGGGGTCAGCCAGGGCACTGGATCCTGCAAGATCCTGCGAAGACCCCCTCTGGCTGACCCGGGTTAGCGAGCCGCTCGTGGCCGCTAGGCGGCCACGCATATTGGCTGACCCGGGTTTGCGAAGCCCTGCGTTGCAGTTTGTTTTTCCTGCATTTCATTGTTGGGGGTCATAACTTCCAATGGTTTCTTCGTGAGGCTACTTTCTAGATTTTGGTGCCAATTTGGAAGGACAGAAAACCATGCCCAGGCATGACACTCGAAGTAATGACGCCAACGCTGCAGTAGGAGCACGATTCGGAACGAGCGGAAGCGCGGAAATGAGGCCAACGCTGCAGCGGGAGCACGACTCGGAACGAGTGGTAGCCCGAAAATGAAGCCAGCGCTTCAGCGAGAGCAGCATTTAGAAAAAAATGCTCAGCGCCGAAGCGCGGAAATGAGGAAGCGTAGCCTGACTTTGCATGGCGTGGCGACGCCCCAAAGTGGGAAGGGGCTACCAGGGGCCCAAAAATCAACGATTCGACACCGAATGTGTAATCACTTCCAATGGTTTCTTCGGGGGGGCACTTTTTATATTTTGGGGCCGATCTGGAAGGACAGACAAACATGCCTGGGCATGGAACTCGAAATAATGACGCCAGCGCGGCAGCGGGAGCACGATTCGGAACGAGCGGAAGCGCGGAAATGAGGCCAGCGCTGCACCGGGAGCACGACTCGGAACGAGCGGTAGCCCGAAAATGAAGTCAGCGCTTCAGCGAGGGAAGCATTTGGAAAAAAAACTGAAGCGAGAACCCAACACCCAGGAATCCTGCGTGTAAAAAACCAGTGCGCGGAGGGGGGCCGGACATTCCCCGGACGCCACTCGGGGAGACAGGAGAGTAGTGTTCAGATGGTGAAACTGTGGACGGAGCCAGGAGCCAGGAGCCGTAGTCCAGAACACCGCCACCGAATACGAACCAGGATAGGGTTGACACATAGACAAAATATGATCCCCGAGATCGAACGCCCCTGTTTCATACCTCTGTCAACACCAAAATAAGCAGGATCACATCCATGGATACTGATCATCATGCGCATCTGTGATTCCAGGGGGTTCAGATATGTAGTATTCGGTCGGGCGTGTGCCCCTACAGGCGGGTCTTGAACGACAAAATGGAAGGTACCCAAAAGTATCCAAAAACATATATGTATATATATATATACATATGTATATATATATATATATATATATATATATATACAAGACTGCCGTGGCGCTTCGCGCCATGCACCTTGGTCCTTGAAGTTTGGTATGCAGGCGGAATGGCAGGAAAGTCAAACCGACAATTTAGCGATAACTCCTGTTTGCCTTTTCCGGCATCGCCGCTATAATGATGTTATTCGTTATCCTTCCTCCATGCTTATTGTTCCTTATTTTCGCCATACCCTGCGCATTCTTCCCATCCTCCTCAGCTTTTTTTTGCGGAGGCTCCTCCTTGGAGAGCCTCTAGGGGCCTCACACAAGTTGTTTCGGGCTTTCTTAAGGCCTTCTGGAGGCCTCCCGGGCGAATTCTGGGGGCCTCCGGGGGCTTCCTCGGGCCACCCTGCCTCCAACCGCCGTCTCCCTGAACGACCGAATCACGATTTGGAATTCTTCGGAGGGTGTCTTTGGGCCATCTTGGGCCGCCATGGGGCTCTCTGAGCGCCATCTTGGACCCGTGTTGTGCCGTTTTGGGGTTCTCTTGGACTGTCTGGAAGCCCTTTCGGATGGTTGTGGGGCGATTTGGGAGCCTCCCAGGCGGCTTCGGACGCCCAGAAGACCGCCGTCTTGGAGCGTCGGGAAACCGAAAAGAGAAGAACCCCCAAATTCACCAAAAACCCAAAGAAAATCAATGATTTTTGCCTCGGGGGGCCTTCTTGGGAGTGCTCTTGGAGGCCTCTTTGGGGTCGTCCTGGAGGCCTCTTGGGCCATCTTGAAGTCACGTCAGTAACTCTTGGAGCGCTCTTGTGCTGTCTTGCGGGTCTTTGGGACGTCTCCGATGACCCCCTGATCGCCCTAAGTGTGCTGGGAAGGCTTGGTAAAACGCCTTGCGGGGCCCGGTGGCCGCTTCGAGGCCCGTTCGGAAGGCCCCAAAGCCACAGGTCCCGGGAGTCCGTTTTTTTTTGGGGGGGGGACGGGTTTTCCCCCCGCCCGGGTTTATAAAAATATAGAAGAGGAATATCTGAATATATATATATATATATATATATATATATAAAGTGCCCAGACTAAGTGTTGACTATTGTTAAATATTCCCCCTGTAGGGGGACAGGACCGACTTAACATTAATATACACACGATCGCATCCATGGATGCTGATCATCACACGCATCGGGGAATACAGGGAATTCAGATATGTAGTATTCAGGGGCCCTGATGGTGTGATGTTGATGATGCTATGCTAGTGATGATGTTGATGATGGTGTTGATGAGTATGTTGATGATGCTGTGATGGTGTTGACCCACTCGTTCCTCAGTGGTCTGGTCGGTTTAAAAGAGCACGCACCGCCCACCTCTTCTTCAAGATGGCGCGAGCCCTCGCAGCGAGAAGGGTCGAGAGAGCCTCTTGTCCCCATCCCTCGTGGGCTCGGAGGAACATGAACGCCGAAATTGCAAGGTCATGCGCAAGCAGGGCAGACCCGAGAGCGACACCCTCCAGGGAAGGCCCAAGGCAGAGCAGCAGTCTATCTTCGGGCGACCACGCGCAAAAAATCTCCGGGAAGACTAGGAAGGAGACGGGGCAGCTGAGCGAGCAGCAGCGGGCACAATAAATAATGCAGGGCATGATCGCTCCCCATCGCTTTGCATCCAAAACGGCACACCTGGCACCCCTCATTAGAACGGGCGGAAGTGCACCACCCGTTGCAGATAGATCTAAGATAAACGGCACACAAGAAAGGAGCAATATTCCCAGCAGTTATTAAATACTGGAGAGCTCGGTCGTAATGCCAATCCTGTATGCCGGCCCAAAACTTCCTAAGCCGAGGGATAACAGCAACTGAAACTGGGGGCCTACTCAGGGAGTCTCGCACCTGAAGCATCTTGTGGATCTGCTTCTGGAGCAGGGTCAAGTCGGGGCCCGAGGGGATCTGAGGAATGGCCTAAGCGTTCGAACAAACTGCAGGGGGGGCCCGTGATGGACTCATGAACCCAATCGGCCCTACGAGGGACAGCAAGACGGTCAACTTCAACTTCTCGGAGCTCGCGCCATCGATCGCATGCTCGTGGGAAAGCCTCGGACCGAAGACACACCCGGTACATAGCTGCTTGCTTTTCCAAAGTGACGGAGCGGAATTGGACAGACAAGCCGATCTCGTCGGCGTGTGCCAGCACGAACGCGGGCACGGCCCACCGCGGGCCTGCCGTGAGAAACTGATGAGCCTCACGCTCAGCACGAAGAACAGCAGCAGGCGCGGGGAGAAACTGCGCAGGAAAGCTGAGCAGAGGAAACCCGAACGTGTCGCAGGCACGAATATTCTGAGTATGACCCAGGGCTAAACCACGACTATGCTGAAGCCGATTGCGAGGCAGCCGAACGGGGCCAGTCCAGCTGCGCTCGGGCCCGCCAGGCCCTAGAAACATACCCGAATACCTGGCGGAGGAACCGACCTGGAACCGCGAAACGTTCAGCCCGACTCCCTGGAACACGCGCATGATCTCAGCCTTGTTCAGGCCGGCTGGGAAACGATGATGCATTTCTGCGGATTTACGAAAAAGACCTGTAGCCCAGGCCGCCTCCATCATGAGGCGGACTACCAACGGGACTGGCACCGGCAGGTCGTTAGAGAGCACGCCTAAGTCGTCGGCGAACGCGAACGGCCTACATGGATGTGGTCGCAGGGCCTTTGCCAGATGACGGACCAGAGGGTCGAAACATACAGCGAAAATCACCCCGCTCAACGGACAGCCTTGTTTCACCCCAGGGAGAATACGGAAGCCATCAAAAAGCTGCCCGCGGAGGGCGACCTCTGTGGCCACATTCTTATACAATTCGCTGATGGCATGCAGGAAGTACCTCGGCACGCCTAGCTCCGACAAACAGTCTGATTTCCAGTCGCGATCGAGCGATGGGAACGCAGCGGCAATGTCCGGCAGGCAAAGTCCTGCCCGCTGACAGTCTTGGAAGGAGAAGGAATCTATTAGCTGTGACTCCATCTCGAGAATGCGATCGAGCTCATTGCGCTTCTGCACAACCCATTTCTGAACAGCAGAAACCGAATATTGAGCTTGCACGGCGAGCGGGTCGGCGAGGGCAGCAGCGAGCAGCTTGTCGTCGCAAATGGAAAGGGAAACAGGGCGAGTGGCATCGGCAGCGCGACATTTCCAGAGAAGCCTCCCCGCCCCAAGGCCTCCGTCTTCCTAGGGAATGAGAACAGCGCACGCGTTGTTAAAACATCCTCCATATATTTACAATCCAATGAGTAGGAGTAGAGGGAGAACAGGCACTCGTGACACAACTCGCCGCCCGCCTTCCACGCTGCATATGAAATGCCGTCGGGTCCTGGGGTGGATTCCTTCTTGGCAGCAAGGATACCTACAAACTCGCGATGCATCAGCCCCCGCTGGATGCCAGGCGAGATCTACTGAACTTCCTGGAAGAGCCAATGCTTAACCTCATCATACATGGGCCCACGAGCCCGCTTGGCGTGGACCCCCCCCCCCCCCAGTGTTTGGCCAGGTTGCAGGCGCTCTTAGCCAGGGGCCCAGAATCTCCGCCCCCGGGATCGGGCACATGACACAGGGTGAGACGAAGACGTTTGGGCGACCATAGCCCGAGTAGCTCATGGAGCTGTGAGGGGCGAGGATCAGAATGGGAGGCGCTGGGGTTCTCGGCAAAGAAGTCGCTGATCTCAGCGTGCAAAATGACACCGCGCACGCCCTGGAAATACTTGTGAAACGCCGCAGAATCCGAGTTGCACTCGCCCTCGGCATCGTAGTACTGCGCCAGCATTGGCAGAGACTGCAGACACCTCCTGACTAGAGCACGATTATTGTTCTGAGTGGCCCGCATAAGCTTCAAACAAATAGCAGCCTTCTGCCTGTCAGCGACGGGACCTCTTCGGAAGAGCCTCTCAAGAAGCCGATCTTTCAGCGCACGCATGCACTCCCTGATCTCCAAGATACGCTCGAGGGTCCTCAGAAAAGGCCGGCCTCCAAAGCAACCTCACTCTAAAGTTCCTCGAATTCCAGATGCTGCGAGACCCACTTACGCAACTTGCGAAGGGTAGATTTGTTAGGGGGGGTGCTGAAGGACGACAGGGACATGGTCAGACGGTCCACGACGATCGCGGGCTTGTCCAATCACGAAGCTCCGAGGGGGAAAGTTCCAGAAGAACCGAACTGGGGAGGTTCGAGTACCACCTATCAAGACGATCAATGCTAACAACAGCTTCGTGGGCTACGCACCCATGAGTAGGATCACCCTGCTCAACTTCCGCAAATTATATATAAAACAACGATCGAAGAAGTCGCATGGTCTAGACGCCGCGGATATCCTTGGAGCTTCATCCGGAACCATGGAAAAGCGCTGATCTCCAGATTCCAGGAAGTTCCAATCACCGCCCAGGAAAACCGAAGCCGAGTTGAGCCCCAGGGTGTGCCGACGGATTTTCTGGAGAAGCTCCATCTTCAAACTGTGTTTCCGCTGCGGCTCGACGTGGACATTGATTAATTGGAGGCGGCCAGCTGGGCCGTGAAGAGTGAGCGAGTGCACCCAGCCTGGGTCGATCACGAGCGGCCAAGGAGCACCTTCAAACTGAGCAGCCAACGTCTTGCGAATGGATGCGGCTACACCGCCAGCATGCGAGAGGAGGAAAGAGCCGAAGTGCACAAAGTCGGGAAAGTCACGCTCGAGACTCGACAAGTCAAATTTGGAACCGTGAGTTTCTTGCCAGAATACAAGATCATGGTTACGGTACAAACCACAGGCCTTTCCCAGGGTACGCCTCTGTCGAGACTCGGAACCAGACGCTGCTCCAAAAAAGGTACCTGACTTCCAAGAAACTAGATTACACGCTCGCGAAAAAAAGGGCCGCTGGCATTCTGACCTGAAACGCACAGGAGGGGGGGGGAGGAGGAGGAAGAGGAGGAAGGGGAAACACTCCGTCGCTTTCGTCTGCCAAGCAGCCGCCGTCGCTTCAGAGGTGGAAGCAGATCAGGCTCGGGAATATCAGAAACACGACCACGATTATCGTCACCCATCGAGCGTAGGCTAATCGAACTAATGCGCGAATTCGTGTTCATCCCCATCGAGCAACCGTCCTGCCATGGACACCATCAGGATGACTGGCCGGATAGACCCTGAACCAGTCCAGGCATGCCGTCGGCCATTTCCTTCGCGATCCCGATCTCCTGGAGTGTGGAGAAATGCGGCTCGAAGGTGAACGTGCCGTCCAAGGGGTCGACGCACTCGACCAACTCGTACGGCTCATCCTGATAGATCAGGTAGCACACGCCCTGGAGCGGATTGCACCCCAACTTCATCTCTGGTTTCCCCTGGTTCTGTCTTTGCAGCATGTCCTTGCAGATGGTCCAGCACTTACTCATCGCAACGCTCCTCTTCCTCACCTCAATTGGTAGATCACGACCAACACGGATCTGATGTATGTTGCCAGACCTCGCGTCACGCCACGTGGGGGGCGACGCGCGAAACTGGTCGCAGAAACTGTTCGCGCCCTGCTCCGGCTCGAACTTCACAACATAGGCCGTCTGCATGTTACGAGTCCACGCCTGACACCGCTCACGATAAGTGGCAGGAGGAGAATTCCTCATCGTTACGAAATGCTCGTCCAACTTGGTCTTCAGGAATTTCCGTGGAAAACCCCGAACCCACATCTCGGTACGGTCCGGAGCCTCACCTTCATCCACGAGATTGATCACGTTGCCTCCGAGCGTGCGAGCGCGCTTACGGTCTGGAGTGCTGCCGAAAGACCTCACCGAAGCTGCCGTAGACGCGGCAACAGAAGCGGCAGCCGACTGAGCCGCTGCCAGCTCAGCAAGCTTCTTCTCGATGGCGTCGATCTTGAGTGACACACCGCGCGGGGGCCGAGGGCCCACCACAGCCATCGAATCGCCGTACAGTTCGCCCTCACCGTCCTGAAGGTCACGCGAGTCCTGAAGCACTCGGATCTGCTCCTCCAGCTTCGCGAACCTCTCGTCGGTCTCGGCCTGCGCCGCGGACATACGCAGCGCGAGCTGGTTTGTGGAGGTCTGGGCCTCCGCGGCAGCAGTCGTCAGCTTGTCGAGCATCTCCTTGGTCTCCGTGGCCTGCTGCCTAGCTGCTGTCCCCTGTTCTTTCAGAAGGGCCTCGATACCCTCCAGAGAGACAGGCATCGCAGCAGGAGAAAGACAGAGCAACTGTCGAGCTATAAGACGAAGGGCCTGCCGCGACCAGGGCTGGTCTCCGACAAGGATCGTGAGTGAGAATGGGGCGTTGCGCCCAAGAAGCCAGAGCCTCCCCGTCGGCAGCAGCCAAGGTTCTTGAGCCAAAATGGCTACGGATGATGATGATGATGATGATGATGATGATGATGATGATGATGATGATGATGATGATGATGATGATGATGATGATGATGATGACGATGACGATGATGAAGATGATGATGATGATGATGTTGTTGATGATGATGATGCTGATGATGATGATGATGATGATGATGATGATGATGATGATGATGTTGTCACTGTGGACGGAGGGAGGGCTGGTGGAGAGAGGCCATGCCGCTCTCGTCTACTGCCCCGCGGGGACAGGCCGCCTGGTGCGAGAACGGCGACGTGTAGGCGGAGGCGTGCACGTCCTCTGCGCCGCGGGCACCAGAGCCCGCCGCCAGTGCGAGGCAGGGCTGACAATCCACCCCCATAGGAGCACCCCGACACGCGAAGCCGTTTAGTAAACGCGCCCAAAGAAGGAATCGAACAGGGCAGAGCTGTTTAGTAAACGCCCAGGGCCGTTGAATAAACGCCCATTGTCCGGTCCGGGTGGTTTTTCCTCCCCTGAAGCAGGGCTGAGGGGCAACGATCAGGGGTGGGGGCACCAGCTCGGGAGGGGCAACATCGAGCTGTACGAAGGAAAACGTTCGGGGGAGACCGGATTTTCGAGGTTCGGGATGGAGGTTCTCGAAGTGTTCGACGGTTCTGGATGCCATTCCAGCCTCGGGGATGCTTTCAAGCGGCTGCGCCTCGCCGAGCGCGTGCCAAGGGTTTGCGGATCCTCCCGAACGGCCGCCGAACGCCCAAGTGATGACCCGAAAACCGCCAGGGGACCAGCTCACGAAGGGAAATATCGAGCTGGAATCGGCGATGCATCGCAGATAGATTGGCGACTGGCCCCCGACAGCGAATCCGCATGGCCCTGGGCGGGGCGGGCTCCCAGGCCCGCATCGGCGACGAATGGGCGATTGGGGGTCGATGCGCCTCCGCCCCCCCTTGGCGATCCCCCCAAACGTTGACCCTGAAGGGCCCCAGAGTCACAACGAGTTGACGGATGGACGAGGTCTGGCGCCGTCCAAGACACTTCGGTCTCCGTCCGCGGCGTGCGTTACTCAGGTTTCAGCCTCGGGGAGGAGGAGGAGGAGCGCACGTACCCTCTGAGGTGCGTCCCAGGAGGAGGAGGAGGAGGAGGAGGAGGAGGAGGAGGAGGAGGAGGCGCGAAGAGTACGAAATGTGGGGGGGAGGAGGGGCGCGAGGAGGAGGATCAGAAAGGGGATAATGTCATAAGGGGGAGGGTGTTCGACTCGTCCGGCACATCTCCATGACCGCGCAAAGCGAGTTCTGGGGAGGAGGAGGGTGGGGACGAAATAGTGGGAAGAGCTAGAGTGGGGAGGATGGGGCAGGATGAGGGAGGGGTCAGAGGTGGGGAGGGTGAAGGGAGGAGGAGGAGGAGGAGGAGGAATGGACGGATTATGAGGGGGGGTCGACTCAGGAACCCATGTCAACGACCACACAGCAAATCTGAATAAGCGGGAATAGAGGAAGGAAGAGGAGGAGAATGCGGGAGGAGGAGCAGGAGGAGGTAGGAGGAGGACAAGGAGAACAGTAAACGAATGGATCGAAAGGCAGCTCAGCCCAGTGCGGCGGCTTTCGGTGTCGAAAGGCAGCCCAGCACGGAGCGGCAACGTTCGGTATCCGAAGGCACCCCAGTTCAGTGCGACAACTTCTTTACCGAAGGGGGAGGAGAAGGAAGCACTAGGAGCAGGCAGCACGCCCTGGCTGCGGGGTGTCGCCTGCGGCGGGGTCCGGGGAATCGGGGAGGGGCTGTAGAGTCGAGCTTCGGGGCTGCCGAGCACGACCGCGCCCCCTTCCTTCCCCATCCCGCCCCCTCCCCTGCTCGGCCAAGAGCAGGGAGGGAGGAAGGCTTCTTAGAAGGAGACCTGCTCCTTAGAAGGCGCGGGCCTTATCTGTATATGTTGAGCCAGCAAGCACGACCGCACACGCCTCCTTCCCGATCCCGTCCCCTCCCTTGCCCCCCGCTCCTGCTCACCGAGGGCCCCCAAAAAACTGGAGACATCCGACAAACTCGGTCGTCCATCCTCGCCCCTCTTACGACACCATACACCGAGCTACTCTTGCTAGGGACGCTTGTCAGATCCTTGCCCCTGTTCCTCGTCCTCCCCCTCCTCCTCCTTCTCCTCCTCCTCCTCATCATCATCATCACCATCATCATTATCATCATCATCATCAGCATCAGCATCAGCATCAGCATCAGCATCAGCATCAGCATCATCATCATCATCAGCATCAT